GTTGGCTTTCGAGGAGGGCGGCGGCGGCGGCTCAGAGTTAAGGAGCGTGCCGAGGTGGTCACTGCTGTCCTGGCCAGCGCAGCAGGAGCCGAACCGAAGCGCTTTTAACAGTGACAAAGCACAAGTTGCTTTAAGGCTTTACAAATAAAGGCCCCAGCAGCGCAACGATCCTCTTCTTAGGGCTTAAAACACTCCTGCCGCTTGATGCGTAGGAGTAATATGTTAGCAGCTACTTTGCAAAAGCTGGGTGGGTTCAAAAGCCCTGTTGCATGGAAGGATGAGTGAATTGGATTGATCAGAGGCTTACAAGAGCGAATAAGACTCCAACCTGTCTATATTTTTTTTAGTATATATTTAAGTGTTGGGAAGTTGTACTTGAAGCATTGCCCTCTGTGTTGCTGTCCTCATAGCGCTGTAGGTTTAAGGATATAAGAATAGCAGAACAAACTGAGGCATTCTAAAATGAAAAGAAGCGTAAGGGGTGCAGTCATGGTTTTTTTGGCCTGTGTATAAATTAAACTGGTAACGCAGCAAGCTTTCTTATTATACTGAGCTAACTAATTACTGTCATGCTGGAATAAATCACATTCAATACCAGTTTGTGTAAATAAGGCGCTAAGGTTATGAGATGCCAAATTCAAAGTATCACAAATTCTGCAGGACATGGTTAGCTATCTCTTTGACAGCAGCAAGTGCTTCTAAGCAAGTTGGTTTAATTTCTTGGGGAGGAAGCAAAAATCCATAAGTTCCAGTGTCCCGAAGCTCAAAAGTAAAAGAATATTTAATGCCAAGGTCATAAGCCCAGTCATCTGAACCTCCAGGAGCTAAGTCTATATAAGGAAGGGAAAAAAAGATAACAATTAGCTGAAACCAGAACTCTAGTTTTCTGATCAAAAGTTGTCCTCCGACGCTAGAGAGGATATGATGCTCTATGATGCTTACCACTGTAGTAAAAATCATACTTACAAATTGTGTGTGCACCTGCACCAAGTCTGTATGTTTTTTTTGTTGTCCTCTTAATAGCTTTAGCTGCTTTGTTTGCTAGACTCTCCTGAAATGAACAAAGCATTACAAGCTTTATGACCTGATGATAATAGTTCATATGTATTGAGTTAGGATTTATTTTTACTGTGCTCCAGAGCTCCTATGAGACAGTCATAGCACCATTCGGCTAGTCTGGAAAGATTTAAATCTTCAGGAATGAGATTAGCAAGGTACATGGTACATTCTGCCAGCAAAGGATACATTTGTTCCATTTGTGTGATTTGTTGGCTCAAGACTCTCGAAATCTACATAATTGCGACATCTTTTCATCACACCATTAGGACCATCTGAAATAAATATCCCTAGCAAAACAAAAACACCTTACTAAAATAGCAAGCATCCACCAGAATCCCTCATTGCTTAGGTATGTGGAGGGATTTTTTTTTTTTTTTAGATAGCCACCCAAGTAATTTTATAGTTCATGTAAAGCATACAACATAATCACAACTTTATCCAACAATCTTATCAAGGTGTCCAAAAAACTTTGACTCTATTTGTTTATAGCAGAATCTGGAAACTAAAAGAGATTTATGATGCCCTATCAGTCTGGAATAAATATTTTCATTTTTCCTTGTTCTTCAAAAGTAGCTTGCTGTTTTACCCGCTGCTAGGCCAGCCCATACTCACTTTAAGCTCTTCAGAATATCGGGAGAAATCTCCTTTCTGAATCCTTATCTTCAGAGTGTTGTGACTCCCTCATTACAAGCCTCACCAAGCGGGGTGAGAAGTTCAGGAATAAATGTGAAACTTAGAAAGTGGGAAGACTTACCAGCTCGTCATGGTCTTTACTTTTGTCAGTAGTGTAAGAATATGGAAACAATACCATCTGGGAGTAAGAGTGCATTGTTAGGTATGCTTTAATGATGTCTTTATGGTGTCTGAGAAAGCGAGCCACTGCTTTCACTTCTGGTTCCGACTCTGGATAGGGTCCACAGTACGTTTCATGACATTCGTAAGGAGATGCTCCTTCACCTGTAACAAAGGAGAGCACACAATGTTTCTCCTTAAGTTCTTGCCTTCTGCATTATCTGTTTAGGTAATGAAAGAACAGATTATGATGCTAATATGCAAGAAAGCGTAGGCTCTTTCATGCTGTGGAAGGAACTCGCGCTCTTGCAGAAATCAATGCCAGCTTACTCAGATTTCTCAACTGCTATACTCTGAAATATTGAAAAAGGTGAAGAAAAATCAAAATGGTTCAAAGGCTGGATAAAAAGTCCTACACCAGAGTATGAAAGTGCTCCATTTCTTTAAATTCATCAAGAACATGATTGTGAGATTCCTTCTAAAACTCTAGAAGTACTTCTACAGGGAAAAGACAGATTCTAGGAGTTTAGTTAATCTCATGCGTAAAGTCAACTTCTGTTGCACAGCTCAAATTGTAAATAACGTACCAGGCTTTTAAGAATGAGGATAAGTAGGCACTGGAACAAGCTATCAAAAGAATTAGTTGATTCTCCGTTTTTGATAGCTTCAGAATGAGATCAAATAACTTTTTAGATGCAGCAAAGAACATCTTTATTGTTAAATGTCAGCTCTTTGTGTTTTGATATATTATCTTCTTGTACATTTTCCCTTTGCTACAAATCAATACTTTAAATAAACATTTTATCCTTATTTTTTTTCCAGTAATATCACTTTGAGTAATATGACACACCAGAAGATTTTCCTCACCCCTTGGCCCTGGGACACTTTAACAAATGCCCATCTTGCAGAACTCAATTCCAGTATATCTGCAAAGTAGCAGCCCTGTATCATATGACACAGGAGAGAAAGAGTTGTCTTCTGGTGTTAGTGATAGCTAGGGAACATCTGTAGCATGTCAGAAAGTAGTGGGGAGCGTATCAACCCCCAAAATACGTAACAGTTTTGAGATATATAGGCTTTAACAAAATAAAAGTCACAAGGCTCAATGCCAAGTATATTTGGATGAAATGTAATGGGATGCGACAGACAGAAAGACTAGATGCTACAGTGGTCTCTAGCTGCCAATGCTATGAATAAACCTGTATTTTTGTGTATTTAACTGTTCCACAGATATCTGCAAATCCCTTTAAAGTATCAATGGCTGGAAATAAATCCTCAGGTGACCTACACCCTCCTGTTACATAGTGGAAGAAACAGAAATACAGTGAAGAGAGCAGACCATGGGGGAGGAGTGCTAACAGAGACAGTGTGTCTGGGACATGCAGACTGTGGGAAATCTGGAACAGATATTGGGACAAGGAGGGCTATGGTACAATTTTTTTTCATGTTCCAGTATATATCTGTCCAATCGTTAATATAAGTACATGTATACGTACTATATATATCTACATCCTGAAGGAGATAGGAGGATTTCACAGGCAGTCTGTGAAAATGCATGCACACGAAAATACAAACAGTTCCTGGCATCTGTGCAAAATCTCGCAAAAGTGGGAGAATGAGAATGTTACGTTTTATACTGTTCTGTTTTGCACAGAAGTGGGTAACTGCCCACAATAAAAGACAATGAAGAATCTGTTTGCTGGCAATTTTGGATTCTGCTTTCCCAAATTCTTGGTCATAGAGAGAACAGTCAGCTGAGAAAATAACGTGAAAAACCTGGAGGAATTTTAGGTCCATGGTCCAGTGAAATTTAGTTCCACAGAGCAAATTCAAAGCACATAGCTTTTAGTGGAGTAAATTTACCTTTTATTATTATAAAAAGAAAAGCATACTATATCAGCACATCAAGTAGTGTATTTTGCTTTTCATAAAAACCATGAGAGCTTTGTTCCTGTTCAGAAAGTTGTTATCTGAACAGCTGAAGAGGAAGAACAGAAAAACACAGCAATACAGTTCTAAGTCCTAAATGCATAGATTTAAATCCTGGAATTTTGCGGTGTTTTCAAGTGTCTCCACAGGCAAAGCTGAAGCCAACGGAAGTCTGAGCGTGTAACACCTCTGACAAGAACTGTTGGCTATTGAAAGGTATGTGAGTAAAGACTAATATGCAAAGTCCCATGAACGTTTCACCATGACTTTGTGTCACTTAACACAGCTGTGTCAGTATAAGTAATTAACGCAACTGATAATAATTGCAAGATTGTTATAAAATGGTAAAACTCGGGCTTGGTTCTTTAGAGGATCTTGCTGAGATCATTCTCTATTGCAGAGCTATATCAATAATGGAGATTCTGCAGTTCAGAATATGTTCTGAATAACATCTGTTCAACCATTGCTATCACTTGCAATTCAAAGATTTATCTGGTTAAATACAAGCAATGTTTTTTACGATAGCTAAGACAAATGGGATTTTTTTCATAAACATTTTACTGACTCTGCAGAACTAAAAGGAGTAGAAACCTAAGGAGATGACTGCAACCATGTAAGTTATTGTAAGCATCTGACTTTGATGCTTAGACTCATCTGTACAAGCAGCTGTTTCTGCTTGATGACCCTACAAGGTGCTGAGGCTTCTCTCTTTTATCTTTCCAACCCTTAGTAAGTGAGGAGCATAGCGCAGCTGAAAACAGTATGAATACTTCCCTAGTCACTAAAATGAGATGCTCCAGTTTTGCCCCGTAAGAAGGTGTACATTTTGCTCAAACACTTTTTCAGGGAAGACCCACTCTTTAGTCTACTTGTGTTATTCTCCTTTTTGTAAAGAAGAATCACTTTTCTGGCTCAGAATTTGTTCACCACCAGAAGTGCTTGGCAAGTTGAATGCGTTATTGAAGGTGATCAGTTCATACAATATAGTGGAGCATTTACTTGACTCAGTGTTGAGACAGGCACTGGGTGGCATGGCAAGGGCCACCTCTTCCTTCCTTTCCTCGCACTGCACCACATGTCTTATTTTGGGTTTTGTGTCCCCCCCCCCCCCCCCCCCCCCGGCCTTGTCATGACACTGGGAAAAGGTTCGTAGCCAGTGTACAGTCTTGAGGGTGAAAATCCTGGGTCCCCACAAAAAGTGTCTGAAGTTGAGGAACTGCTCTTCTGTTCATAAATGTTATTCAGGTGCATTCGTCTTTCTATCAGCAGTCACTTTGTGAAAGAGTAAAGGAAAATATTTTAAAAATTAGGAACTTTGAAGGTTAAAACTGAAGCAGAGCTAGAACAGAAAGAAGTGAGGTCATACCACACCAGTGTGCATCAAAATTCCTATTCATGTCAGTACCGATACACTTGCTGTTACCATGTGACGAGCGGCTCTTTCTCCACAGCCGTTTCTGTGAAAAGAGACACACAAACTGAGGTGTAGGTTTTTAAATTTTGTCATCGTTTCCCTGCTTAGTTAAATATATCTTCTCATGTATCTCTACAGGTCATGTGCCAATGAAGGAGCAAAAAACCAAGGAAGATTATAAAACCACAATCTGACTGCCAGTTAAGCCTGAGCGATGAGACAAAGTGCTGGACAGGAAAAGATGTGGACGTTTGGTCTGATTTCAACAGACTTGCACTGTGGAAGGAGGAGAGAAGGCAAACTGTTTAGCCAGGTATATGAGTTTACAAGTACAAGTCCAACCTTTCTGCAGGGACTGCTGACAGCATGTGGAAAGTTAGGAATCTGGTGTGCAGCTGTTGGGCTGTGTAAGTGTGGCTGTCCAAATGCAAGCAGAGCTGGGATGAAAATCCAGAGAGTAAAAAGAACGGAAGAGATTTTTGCTTAAACTTAAGTGAAAGATCTAAAAATCAAAGAACCATTTCAGCTTCTCAGAATTTCAAACCAATGAGTAAATAAAATCCTGAATAGATGGCTTTCACCTGTTGTACCTTCATCCACTTGAAAAAAAAAATACTCAAAGAACCGGGCTATCCTGCAGGACGAAGGAGTGAGTTACTGGCTGTGGCTCATCTGACGTGCTTGTATTGGATTGTGCCAGTATTTGTAACCTTGCTGCTAAAGGCAGACATAGGCGTTCCCTGATGTCTGAAAGTTTTAAAATCCTAGGATGAGATGCTGTCGTTTCCAAATACGTTTCCAGCAATTTGGAGGATGCAAAGGTTGTATGGGTCACATATCAAGTAGTCACAGTATTTGCTGTACTTTAAATGAGGCAGAGGTGCAGAAATTTCAAGTGCAACGAACAAGTTTGGGCGTGCAGTTCCAGAGTGGAAATTGTGTCCTAAGCATACACACTGACAGTTACCATAAATGGCATGTCAGTATGTTCCACAGTATGTCTAAAAAGTTTCTACATACGGAGGGCTGGCTCCACGTGTACTCATAGCCATCCACATTCACCACAGGCATGACGTAGAAATCAAAGTGTTCCAGAAGTGTTGTCATGGTCTGATCTCTCTCACGCAAATGCGTTGTCTGTAAGACACCAGGAAAACTTATTAAAAGCATTTATAATAGTGTTTTTCTTACCTTCCGAGGAAGGCACCTGATGGCCTTATGGTAAAATAATCGTGCAATTATCACACCAGGCTGCCTCCTCGTAGAAGTGTATCGCATCAGAGAAATTGCTACTCCAAATAGCCCTTTGGTTAAAACTCCCAGGGGAGAGGCCGGGAATGGAACTGGTACAGTCAGTCAGATACACTACAGTCGTCTAATGTTAACGAGTTGGTCATGAGACAGAGCTTGAGCTTTTGCTGCTTGTATAAATAAATAAGGGGTGGAGGGAAGCACAAAAGAGCACAAAAGTAGCATAAAATAACACAAACACAAACACAAAATAACAAATAACATTTCATGCAGCTGCTGTACGTAACAGCATTCTTCCTGGTTTCATTACGAATTCAATGCAGCTGTATGTAAAGAGCCAGTAAGAGCTACACTGCTAATTTTGCCTCACTTATAGCTAATTTTGAAGGCTTAAATGATACTTAACCTGGTTGTAGGTCCAGCACACTGGGATAAATTTTAACCTAGATAAATGACTGTGTTTCTAATAGGATAGATTAGGTCTTTAATCATATCTTCTTCTTCTTTGTGCCTTACTTGAAGCACCTCCTATTTGAAATTCTTCCCACTTTTCCTCAGGCAATGGACTTTCTCTGAATTAAGTGAAAAGTGTCAATCTTTCTACCATCTAACAAGAAAATTAAATGAGAAGAAGTGAAAACATTGTAAAAAATGCCTCATATTTGCAAAACAGAGCGCTACTAATCTTAATGTGCGTGTGCAGACGTCTACTAATGTCAGACTTTGAAATGTTACTTTGTGAAGTGATATGGAAATAAAATTTGAATTTAAAACACGTGAATTAGATCAAGGGGATGGAGAAACTAAATGTTCAGCTTGTTACTGCTGAAAAATGTCGCGGGGACATTTCACTGGCACAGCGACAGCACAGCTGGTAATTATTTGGAGCAGCATGAAAAGGGCAAATGCATTTCTCTCCAAGGGAGCCTTGAAGGCTGAAATTACCAGTGGGGCATAAGGTATATTCAGCTGTATCTGCACCTAACTCCTGCAATCTCCTTTAAAAATGTTATAGTCAATGAGGTTTTATAGTTGTGACTGAGGATAGAAATAAACGTATTTATTTTCTTTTATAATTTATTATTATTCTTTAGTTCCATCGTGGACAAACCGTAATTCATCTTTCAAGGACTCATCTATGCTGTTACTCTGGCTGCAGTGCTGGTGACTGTGAAGTCACAATCTCATCTGGTTTGTTTTTGTGAACAAGTAATTGAATAAACAATGTCTCAGGACAGTACTGGAGCAACCTGGGCAACCTCGGCTAGGCCAGAATGAGTTTTTTCTTGGGAGCCTTTTTCCTGGCCCATACTAAGAACTGAAAAAACAGCTCAGCATGATGAGTTTTACCTGCAGTGCTGAGCAAATTCAAAAAGACCAAAGAAGTCTCTTGTCTCTTGGCATATCTTTATTCACTGTCTTGAGCTGTATGAGCTCGTTAGAGACCAGGTATAACCGTTGGTCTGGAGCTGCATAACAAAGCTGGAGGGGTTCAAGATGCCAGTCTCCACCTCTCAGCACCTGCTTGTGAGGGCAAAGAACAGGACAGGGGGAGTGGGTATGTATTCCCAAATCTTCTCAGAGTTGTCACTGCAGCAGTCTGGTCATTCTGGTCAATGATAACTTTTTCTCCTACTTGCTTGAGGATGAGGAGGAGAGGAAGAAGACAGGTCATGAAGCAAGCTTAGGGGACATATTCCGTGTGACAATTATATATTGAGGCGCCTCTTTATCTGACACTGACTTACTTCCTGTTTGACTTCCAGGCACATCACAGCCTGGGAATCACATTTCTGTGTGACACAGCTTAAATGACTGCCAACCAGCTGTCACAGCATGCACACAAGTGTGTTTCTCAATCAAGACCAACTCCAACAGTCATCCGCAAACATGCTTAACGCACCTCAGTATCTCACTTGCACAAATCAAAAGACTTGGGGATCACTTTCAAAGTGGTGCTGCCCATACCTCAGACCCCTACCATCCCACATAGACTTAGAGGCAGCAACCGTATGTGGCTGTAGTGGTATTTCGTAGGCTTACTTGTCACTGTACTGACTGAGGTAACCTGCAACACCCCCAACCTCCTCAGCATCCCTTTCGTTTATTTTTCCAGCTCGTCTGCTCAAGTCAGTCCCAGCACAAGGTTAAGCGAGGTACCGCCTTCATCTTTCACCTCAGCACAGGACATTGCTCTGTGTCTGTCCATGGAGAGACCGTGTGGAGCTCAAAGAAGACACTGCACACTTCATGCTTCAGTAAAGTGGAACGAGGATCAGGGATTAGAGTATTCCCTCGTAACCCAAGGTGAGATGGATATTGCTCATATCACTATAAAGGGGAACCTCTGGACACAGGAGCAGGATCGGGGTGTGGGCATGGATGTCTTCCACTAGCTACCATCAAGGGTCCCTGAAACTTCTTCTCAGAACACTACAGCCATGGCAGACCAGGTGCATGACCACCTGACATGGGTGGGGTAAACACATTTTTCCTACAGGAAAAACTCCAGGCAGTTGCACTTCAATAAGGGGCCGCCTACAGTGATCAGCATAGCTTGGTAGCGCACTGGATTATACAATAAAAATGCTGGATCTATATGGGCAGTTGTACAGGTCTCTGCAGCTGCAGAGTGAAAAACAGCAATGTCCCTTCATTCTTCTCAAAGGCATCCTCTACTTTACAAGGAGCCTGCGAGGCTTCTTGAGGTCTCAGCCTGCTCTTCACTCAATATAGGCTACAAAGACGCAGCAGGGAAACTGACTTTCATGGCACACACAGCCAATTGCCTCTCCTCCCGTGGCCTTCACCGTGCAGGCTGTTACAGGGATGCTCCTATCAGCACTTAAAACCACAGAAATACTCCCTTCCTCACCAGGCCTCGAGACACTTGCCAGTACCTGGGACATCCCATCCTGATCTCTTCTCCAAGCCATCCTCCAGTTCTGCATAAGTTTTGAGTCTAGCCCAACACCCAAATTCATTTGCAAAATTCAGTTTTGGGATGCAGGTGTCTGCAGAAAGGTACAGTTTAGGCAAGTGCACAGTGTGTTTGTATCTGTAGAAATCCCCAGTGACTGATACCCTTGCTTTTTTTTTTTTTTTTTCCTTTTAAAGTTATCCAGAGGGAAATATTTGATCCCAGGCATCTCCATAATGTGGCAATGAGTTCTCGGTGAAATTCTGGAAAGCGTCTGCATAGGCAAATTGAAGTTCTGGTCTAGCTCCAGGGAGAAAATGGCATGAAAGTGCAGCAATTTGTCTTCTCTGTTCTCCAGAGAAGGCTGTTCCTGCAGCAGAAAAAAGTAAAACAGGAGTGGTACCAACCTCTTCTTCTAGGGTTGTTCATACCCCTGCTGCTCCGGGCCTTTCTGCACACAAAGGCTTAGTATCCCTCTCTCCTCCTGAAAAACCACAAGACTTTTGGGCAGCAAGACCTTTCGTATCTCCAAATCCCATTGCTGAACTAATAGTTCCTATGTTACGGTGCACATTGTGGTTGTCTAATCAAGACACAGTGGCCATGCTATGTAAGCCATTTTGCATTTTTATCCCTGGCCTGTGAGACCCTTTTTAATTTTCTGTTTAGGTGATAACTCTCTACCTTTATTCTGATAACTAGTTAGACGGCATATATTTTGAAACATGGCCTGAGTTTTTGTTTTATTCTGTTTTATATTTAAGCCATGGACTATGCAACATTTTTCTTTATTTTACATCTAGGTAATGAAGGCATTTCTGTGTAAATGCCGCTATTTGTATACCTCTGCCCATATTTTCACTTACTATTTTCATTTACCTATTTTCATTTACTCTCTTCTTGATAACAACACATTTGTATTTTGATTATTTGATTGTAAGTGGTGTTGTGCTCTGTTGTATGGCCTATTGCATAATTTAATTTCCTCCACGTTCTCTAGACCAATCATTCTGCCTAACGATGGCAAGAGAGCAAATGGCATGGGGTCTCAATTCTAAAGAAGAGATAAGTAGCAGAGATCCTGTCTCTTGGAGTTATTGGGGTATCTGCTGAGGTCTGGAAGCAGCAGACTTGACATGAGAGAAGGCTGAACTCATCTGGACTGGGAGGCAGACTGTTTATATCTGATGTCGGTTTATATCTGATGTCTTATGGGGTTAATCAGTGAGAGGACAATGCTCGACTAGAGTTTGTTTAGCAAAAAGGGAAGAAAAAGACAGCAGTCTCTTTAGAGAGTTTGTACTGCGAAAAGCGAATGAAGGAAACGTAAACCAGATTTTTTTCACTTTGGGCAGAGCTAGCACCAGAGACCTTGCTGAAATACAACTCTGAGTTTGTTTTGGTCTTTCATGGTACTGACTTTGAGCCACGTGTATGTAATGTATTTCTCTGGTCCCATGCCAGCAGCTCTGAAAGGAGCTGCTCACCAGTGGCCTCCCACAGGCTGTGCAAGAAATAGCAGACAGTGACAGTCTGCAAAGCACAGAGCGCACAGACATCCAGCCTGTCTGTCAAAGCTCTCCATTCATGACTGGTAGGCCAAACGCACATTAGCCTGAGATCCTGCAAGTATTTAAAATTGAAGCCCCACTGGCGTGTGGTGAGGGGTTGTGTTTGTCTCGGTAAGACTGTGTGACCCATGGTAGCACTAGGCAAGCAGGTTCTGCAGATATCCGATTGCCATGTGCTGCAGGGAAGATTGCTCAGCTTGGGGCCGTAGCAGAGGGGCAGAGTCTCAGAAGGTCTGGGCATGCATTCTGAGTACCTGTTCATCCCATCTACAATTCTTTCATGATCCACTAGGTTTGCAGAAAGTGGACATGACAGTCCCTGTGGGTGAGGTACCCACCAGAGTTTCACGGAAAACACCAGTTAGAGAAATAACTGCATCAGAGCAGAATCCCTGTAGGGCAAAACCTTCACAATTTTGATGACACTGTTAATGTGGACTGCAGTAAACTGGTCAAATCCAGAGTGCTTTCCTACCAGTAAGTAAGAGGCAGAAATGATGAGACTGCAGAGGGCAACCATGAGCGTCTTCTCCACTTGTATTGGTGCCTGAAATGGAGATGCTTGATATCACACCCTTACAGAGACCTTCTGATTTGGCCCTTCAGATTCTGAAGTGCTGAATTTACTGCTGCTTATGCTTATGCTGAGTACATAGTACAGTCTCATCCCATCAGTGATCAGTGCTGGCAGTTGTTGCCATTCATGTCCTGGAGGTCTGAAATGACAGTTTCTCCTGCAGGGCTGGTACCTTCAGAAGAAGGTGGCTTGTGTGGCCTCATTCAGAGAATGAGGCCAATCCAGAAAAAATCATGAGTGCAAACAGAAAATCAGAGACCGCAAGAGCAGTAACAGCAGGCAGAGCAGCAGGTGACACCTCACAGAAAGAACCCAACAGAGGTTGCTGGTGTGCCTGCCCTTTAGCCTCTTTGAAGAGTCTATTGATATGGAGCTATGTCATGCCTAGAGCAAGCAAATGGAGGGTGTGGGGTATCTGTCGCACTGCAGAGGCGTGGAGGGAAAAATCAAGGATTGTAGGATATTCTGAGTTCGCTCTAGGTGCCATCTGATCTACTCCAAGCAGTGCAAGCAGTAGTAAATATGGATGTGAGATACCACGCGATATTTGTCCCAGAGCCGGGATCATTCCTTTGCAAGGATCTATGTCACAATATAGACAGAGCCCTAATGCATTTCCAAATACATCCTTTTCCTGGCATACTTGCTCCATCCCTGGCCATTCCATACTTGTAGAAATCTCTATTGAATTTGCTGCACATACTTTGAAAATTTTCTTTCTTACCTGAGAATACGCTTAAGCTCTTTCCCATTTGATCCATGTGACATTTTTCCTCTCTCTCTTTCTTTCTCTCTCATCCCTATCCGTGGACACACACATAGACACCCATAAACACACTCACGCATACTGCTACGTATAAACATTAAACACAGATCTCATGTGTTGGTGCTCTGCAAGTAAACAGCTTAAGACATTGTACAAGTTAGAGCGTAATTTGCAAGAGAAGGTAAATGGCGTCAGGACATTTTACTTTTCTTTAAAAACGGTAATCCAATGTGATATCTACTCACATGGCCTATGAACCACAGGCAAAAAGCAGGAGAAATCCATTCTCTAGCGTGGATACCACAGTCAATCCATATGGCACTTTTGACTTTTTCCTGCCTTTTAGAAAGCTGACAAAAGAGAAATTTTATTAGAATGTCACTGTTTAAAGTATACCACATAAAAGTGGAACTGAAAAGTGTAACCGAGGTGGAAAAGGGAGCGTTTGTGTTGTAGGGAGTGTTTAGATTGATCCTGGGCTGGTTACCGCTTTCATTTACTTTAGCGTCCAGTAAGAGGGCCATATTCAGAGAGCCTGCAGCAGGCCCCTAGCACAGGCACCAAGACCTCAGCAGTACATGAGGTCAGGAGAGCAGATCACCAACTATTTGGGATATGGAGCTAGACTGCCTTTATAGTCAAGAGAGGAGGATATCCACCATGCCAATATTTCATGCCTTTGGATGGTGGCCCAGATGTGGTAACTCCTCTGGCTTTTAGTGATCCAACAAGGAAGCTAAACTGGTCAAAGATAATGGCACCTTATTGGAAGAACGTAGGAAAAGGGCAAAGAATTACAGATTGTTAAAATATACATATAAATATAGATTTAAGAAAGTGTTTTGGCCAAAACTGTTCACTTGCTTACATTACTACCTGGAAAGATTTCACAGTAAGTCACAGCTCTACCTTCAAAACATAAAGTGGTCGTTTCTCATATGAGGATCCAATATATATTTTCTGGAGAAGGTCCGAATGGGTTTTTACCATTTCATCCATCCAAAAAAGTATCTAAAAAGATGAAGTGGATCAATTAATAAAAGGATCTATTGTTTCTCCTCATCCCTGAAAGTGGTCTGGACCTGGATTCGTTCTGCTTCCCAAAGTGTTGCTTCCCTAGCTAACTGGAAAGAGAAACTAGCAATTGTGACCACTTACCCTTTGCCAGAATCTGGTTTCTTTTAAAAGAATCGGTGAGATATATTCACGGTACAGTCTAAGTATTACCCTGAAATTGTTCTTCAGTTTCATTTGGTTAAAATATTATTCTTTTCATGCCTTAAATACTTATGTGGTGTTTTGCTGCTACATTTCCCTTCTGAGTTGTCTGTATTGGAGTGGTGGTTTGAAGTAATGTATGCGTAAACGATTTTTTCTTTTGCTGGCATTCCTTCTCTATAAAGGCATTGTAGTAATTAGAACTGTCACTAGCTGGGCAATATAATGCTACTTGTTTACCTGGTGGTGATTTCTTTCCCTGTCTCCATTCTCAGCCACCAGACAAATTTAACCTCTTAAATAAACCTATGGAGGATTACAAGAAAATGTCTTACTTCTCTCAGAGAGTGGTAATTTTCATAATACGACGACGAACTGCGTGGATTGACTGTGTCATTGATAGTCTGTTTTTCAATAAGTCCTTGAACATCTCCCATCAAAACTCTAAATAACAAAGAAAGAGCACAACCTTCTATTAAATGACAATGTTGCCAAACAACCTTACCCGAAACATTCATAACAAGAAATAAAGAATTCGTACTTGTGCTCGATGGTCAGTCTCCTTAACTCAGCCTTTATATTATTTAAAATGGACAAGCTAACGTAGAAATGGACTTCTTTGTCCGTCTTGATGTTTTCAACCATAACAGGCTGCCAGAGAATGACCTGCAAAGTTTCCAAGAACATTTTATGTGTTATCAAGGAAAGAAAAAATATACCATTAACATTTAATAAGTATTTTGAAAATAATCAAAGCATATGTTTTCAATTTCAGAGATCATCTATAACAAGCAGTTTAATGTTCCACGTGCTTTCTTAGAACATTCTGCTACTGCTGGAAATGAAAAGTGTGTAGTGAAGAAGTGTTTATAATGACTTCTGCACATAAATTCATAAATCAAGAACAAAGACAGGAACACAACCTTTCCTGAGACAATATTTCTGGTGTAATAGATACATTTAGCCGGTTATTATGTTACATGTTTTCAAGTCTGCTGAGAGTTATTTTCCCTCAGGGTATTTGGGGAATTAATGAAGATCAGCCCAGTCTTTGTAGTTATTGTATTCACTGATTACTTTGATCAGGGACCAAATAAATGCCAGAAGGGGTTTGAATCAAGATGAAGCAGCAATATAGAGATTAGAAATGGGAGGAGAATAAGAAAATGAGATTCTTCTTGGTAAAAGTAAATCTTATACAATAATATAATCAGAAACCGACATACTCAATAAGAGACTGACACTTTAGAAGCAATAATGCCGAAAGACCTAGAGGTGGCAGTGAGCAGAAAATTACACATGAATTTACAATATGAAAAAGGTCAACATAATTCTTAGCTGCATATTTAAAGAGGTACAGCACGGAGTCACTAAAAAATAGGGCATTTTTACTCTTTTCTGGTGCAATTACACTAGGAATATTATATTCAACTTAGGATACCATGTTTCCAGGAACATATCGGCTATCAACTGTTTACCTTACTCATTTCTTAGACAGAACTGATTTGCAACATCATATAGATGTTTTTATTTGCAACGTCATATAGATGTTTTTTCATCAAGATTTTGGAATGATAAATGGTAAAACACTACAGCCCTAGGTGATGTGGTGTCCACATAGCTGAACCAGTCTCAGTGTAGACATCTCAGACATTATTATAGGCATCACATGCCTCGTTGTTGGGAAAACCCATCCAAGAAGCAATCTGGATGCCAAGTTCACCAGTGCTGATTTCCCTATTGCCCTGGCTAGCCTGCTGTCTGCGCTGAGGTACAGCTGTGTGGATTTGGTTTCTCTTTGGTGAAAGCATTCTTCGGGTTGAGAATAAGGAAATCCGAAGAATTCTAGACTGACCTAGCTGAGTCAAAGTCAACAAATACTGATAAAAGAGAAACTTTCATAACATGCAGGATTACTGGTCATCAGCCGATCATCAGCAATGGTCAATACTGCCTCAGGGACAGCTAGTAAAGACTGATATACACGTTTCTGGGTCTGGCTCTTCTAATCAGTGGTATTGTAAGGATGAAGTGTTTCCTTTTTTTAGATTTTTGTTCTCTGTCTTTTGCAAGAGTAGCACCTGAAATTAGCCTGCTAATTCTTCTTCTAATTTTCAGTTGTTTCTTTTTTTGCTAGATTGTAACTCGTTGGGCTGTACTGTTATATGTCAAGTATTTGCCACAAGCTGAGGATTTGTGTGGTTTTTTTTTAAAGTTCTAGCTTACACAGCTCGTCTACATATAGAAAAATATGTTGATTTTGCAGATGTTAAAGAAGTTCATGTGATGATCTGAACACTCTTGTTACCATATTGGGGAGTTTAAAATTTGTTAGGAGGTGCCATATGAGTCTTTCTTTCCTTTTTCTCTTCTTTTTCCTTTTCCTTGAAATGCAGAGGTAGAAAAGAGCAAGTAAAGGTATCAAAGTTTGTAGGGACTGAATAGGAGGGTAAGATGATGCTAGGAGGTGTAGTGGAAGAGTATAATAGGAATCAACGTGGGCATAGAATAGGGCCCAAGAAAGATGGGATAGGAGTGTGGGCAAAGACATTGTTAAAAGCTCTCAGTTATCTGAGACACATCTTCAATCATGTTGTAAATGACGGTGGTTGAGCGAACGGTTACACTTTTTGTTGCAGAATGTTGGCTTCAGACTAACTGTGAGGGTGTGATTGGGAAAATGCTTTTGAAGAGGAGGAGGTGTCCTATTTTAATTCAAAGCTCTCTTCTCTAATGGCAGGCAGAAGTGAAAAAGTCCCACTAGAATTCTTAGCAACAACGGAAGAGATTTTTATCATCTAAATGCTGTTTTAAGAAAAATACCCCTTGGGTAAGTCCTGATCTTCAAAGCCCTACAGGCCATGTGATTCAAAATTGCATTGGTCTAAAGTGCTGGGGTTCCCTAACAAATGTGTTTGTTACTTACTGCGTGTTGGAACTTCACCAGCTTTGCAGTGTGTTAGTGCACAAAACCAACTGCAGAATTCTGAGCTCTGATATAATTCACTAAAACATTGCAGAGGCCCTCCTTATGTAAACCATAAGATACCAGAACAATGAAAACAAAGCGTTTGCTGAGCTGCTGTATTAGGAGACAAGAATGAAAGACAGAGGGCTAAATCTTCCTCTGAGCGGAAGTAGTACTAGTGCACTTTGTAGAAGACTTTGCCCTAGAGACCAGAGAGAAATAGGGAACTATTTACCTCAGTGGTGTTCAGTAAATTCTGAAGGGCTTCAACCTGTCCGTCTGTTTTTGGGAGAGCCCACAAAACTTCATCCCTGGAAAGGCAAAGGTATTTAGATAAAGCACAGGTATGTGAAACCATTATAAGTTATGCAAAATGGACTTGGCCTTACTTGTCTTCCCTGACTTGGCTACCACGGACTCAAAGAGGATTCAGTAGTGAGAACACTGGGCCCAGTTCTAGCCTGTGCTTCTGCCAATCTGCCAAAATATGAAAGAGCCAACTGGCTGGTATATGGCTTTGGTAACCACTACCTACTACTGTATCCCAGATTGCTCCTGGGAGCTGGTACCAATGCAACACAGCTCTGGCTAACCTAGAGTGCAGCAGGTATAAAACCAGACTAGATTGGGAAGTCATCTCTCCTGTTGTCCCCCAAGTTTCTCAGATTCATTCACCCTTCAGCAGTAACACGAGTCCTCCCAGCCTGCTGCAAAAGGCAAACACAGCATTTCATGGATGTGCAGAGGGTGCTACCATCATCCTTCCTACTCCAATCCATTCTTACTGCTCACCTCATTTCTCTCCCTCTGCCAGTTATGCAGGGTTTCCAGTGCTTGGTACCACTGTCCTCCCTCCCTGTGCAGTAACTGATATTCCTCCTTCTACTTGAAACCCACAGCCCAAACACGTTGTACAGAGAGATGGCCCTTCCAAGCTACTCTGTGCTTGATGCCACCATCAAGGACAGAAGTAAAATTCACACACGCAGTTCAGCAAGAATGAAAGGACAGTATTCAACCCCTGTGCAAGTACAGAATAGTAGTAGCTGGAGCACACACTTTGCAAGTGAGGGGGAGAAATAATTCAGCTGTCTGAAGAGATCTTTATTGTCTAAATTTATCTTAGGAAATATATCACTTCGCATTGTAAATCCAGTTCTGATCTTCAGAGCCCATAGCTCACAATTGTGTTGGATAGGCTTGAAAATAATTCATGTTTTCATGGGGAAATATCTGACCCTTATTTCCATTTTCTGGGCTGGGGAGCTTCTCAGCCCTCTAATCGTGTGGAGTTGATGGCAGCGCATAAAACAGGCACCGCAGAAGTCCTTAAGAGCCCTGTCTGAAAAGACTATTCTGAAAAGAAAACAGGCAGGGGTCTCAAAACAAGTATTTTCAAGCTGCAGAACATGATTGTCACAACTCATTGTTGTGACTGATTTGAAGCAGAGACCTGACAGCATCCAGCAACCAGGTGATTTATCTTTTCTACTTTTAGCCAGGCTCCAAGCAATCACTGTTGTTTCTCATGCAGAACCAACAATATGCCAGCCTTATTTTTGCTTCCACCATCATCTGACAGAGCATCAAATAGCAATCAGGGCTAGGCAGGGCTGGCAGTTTGCCTATTTCTTTAGACAAGTAAACTCCAAAGCTTGCGTTTGGGACTCCTTCAAAAGTGAGCTTGTCTTCTCATGCTTATGTTTGCCACAGGGAATCTTTTCAGAAGGGAGACCAGAAGAGGACTGCTGCATGTCATTGTGTCCTACACTTCCCATTGCCTGCTGCAGCATGGAGTACAAAATGAGGAAGGGGGAATATATTTATACCCCCAATTTGTTGCACTTGTGTCTCAGGTGAGTGTCGTAAGTGTCAGATAGCCAGTGGCTAGCAGCGAGTCCTTTATAGCTCACGCTGGTAGGACCGGAACATAGCAAACAGGTTGGTCTGAGTTCTGCCCCTGCTGAAGTTGTAGTTGTTGGGCTTCTCAGTTCCTCTGCTTTGATTCAACATTATACCATCTCCCATCTGTCTTCTTCCCCACTCCTGTTAAAAATTATTCCAATCAGAAGCTCTAGTTATTGCCTCCTACACCAATCTCAGAACCAACCCTCCATGCCCACCTTCCTTGCCTTGTGTGCAGCCTTGGGTACAGCTGAAAATGTTCACCTTCAACTCACCTCTTCTCTTTCAGATTCTGTCCTCTTGCCCTGCTTCCCTAGTTCTTCTTTGAGTTTATCCCTAAGAAGTTCTTTCCCATTCCCCGGCTCTCACTTTCTGTCAGGGTCCCCCTGGACTCTATTGCTGGTCCCCTCCTCTTTTTCCTCTGCCTCTTACTTCTGGGTAAATTGAAATTCAGCTGACAGCCCCACACTACAACGCTCAGGTCTTATTCTGTATCTGTGACACAGTAAGTAGGTTCCATCACTGTTCATTGTCCATGGTTTTGGTATCTTCATCTGAACCCCTTGCTCTCTTTATAAAGAAATAGACATTTTGAGGTTTCAGTTAATATCTGACCTGTTTTAGATGTGTATGCTGAACTGTAATTAATTACTGTACATTAGTACATACATATGTTTCTCTCCATTGGCTGTATAGGAGGTGAAGGGGACTTGTTCTTATGCAGAATTGTGTAGAAAACCCATATGGTCAGAAGAATCCCATCCAGGGGCCCTGGCCGCCATTTCACAAACAGATATAAATCAGCGCCAGTTCTCCACAGTCATCTTAGTCTCTTCACCCTTCCTTCCATTGCGTTTCTCAATCACCAGGCCATCGTCATTACTTATCACATGGGCTGATGAAAACAAGGCATCAGCACGTATGTATCTCCAGGACCTCATAGCCTGGCTTCATTTAAACCTTACACGTTCCTTCTGACTAAGGGAGAGAGGCCTTCTTACTTGTCTACAACTGGAAGACCTATCCAGGCTCTCAGCAGGTTACGTTGCTGCAGGAGTACTGCAAAGGTCTCCTCCTGCCCTGTCAGACCTTGCAACCTGCTGCCTGTGTCCCTCATCTACTTCACTTGAGGCACATACTACTTGTTTTCTCTTTCAAGAGCCTATCTCCACTCTCCCTATCCTCCCTCACTCACTGATGAAAGCCTTACTCCCAAATCTGGTGACCCTGATGTGTCAGCCTGCACTCCTGTGGACAATTTCATATGACATTTTCAAACAAGTATTGTTGTCTTGCATCTCTTCCAGTTGTTGATGTCTGGGTAACTCTCCCCTTGTACAGCTATAAACCCCCTGCACAGAATTCCTTCAGATTCTTTGCTAAAATTCTTTGCTGCGATGCCAGCTAAAAATTGTAACACCATTTAAGCCGTTAGTCTTCTTGGAGAACAGATGTCTGTCTGTGGGTGCTCTTTTCTCCCACCCTGTTGCCTCTCAGACAGCCTCCAGCCTTCTCTTTTCCCTGTAATGGTTCAGTGAGCTACACGTGTTTTCAGTGTTATCCACTCTTTCGAAAGTCTTGCATTATTTGATATTTTTCTTGGAGGTTCAAATGTAGTAATCATGCAATATCCTTGCAAAGAGAAGCTTTAATACAAGACCATTGAATTCTTGAACACTAGCAGTCAAATAAAAGTAAAAAGAGAAATAAAATATATCACCTTTAAAATCTCTTTCTTTTTAGCCATTTTCATAACTGGCCCGGGAGGGCTAGATTCAGTGGGAAATGCCATATTCTTCTCTAAGGGTCAGATATTCGGTGTTTTATTTAAACATTGAATAAATGAACCTTCAAGTAGCACAGAGCAATGTTGCTCCACTGAATTCACCTAAAAGCTTATTTATCTGTCCCTTTGCTTTAACCCCCACAGCTCCATGGTAATCCACAACAAAATATGATTGCAACACAAGGTGAGATGAATGATCCTGTTTTTAAGGCACAAATTCAAGAGGTTTTCGCCTGTCATAGTTCTGCCACTGACTTGTGGTGCGAAGTTACAGAAGGGTTGTGAGACATAATTCGTTATTGTTTGTGTAGCTATTTGAGTTCTGGGAGCAGGCGCCGTTTAATCGTGGTTCCTGCAGGTTGTTCAGCTTGCTTGATTTCGCCACATGAGGGGGTTATCTTTTTAGTTCCACCTATTACAACATTTCAGTTTTTCAAACCAGCTGCACACACAGAGAATAAAAGCTCTTTGGCTGTCTTCGTCTCTGACATATGTTTTCATGTTTTAACAAAGCGTTTGGTTTCAGGGCATTTCTGAAGTTTATCGATAGGTAACAATAAAACTGCTTCTGAAACATTGTACAAATACAAAATGGTTATTCAAAAATGATTCATGACTGGAAAAACAACCATAAAAGCAACTTTAGAAAGAAGACAGACTGTTAGCACTTTCAGAAATGGTTTCTCTCTCTACCTCTAGAAGTAATTTATTTAAGGTCTTGTTTTAAGGCAAATGAAGCAAATTATTTTTTCCCATTAAGTTTCAGAATGCCCTTTATTGGCACTCAAAAGCACTGAATGAACAGAACTGATTTGCACTTAGACTGAAAAGAATTGTTTTAATATGATTAAAAACATAAGATTTATGGATGCAAAGACGACTTATAATAATTTAATTTCCTCCACCATCTATATATTAAATTGAACCACATATCCAATTACAAGAGCAATGAATAAATGTCAGCCTTTGCCAAATGTTTGCTTATGCATTTTGGAGATATTTTACCTCACTATTTTCCTTTCCCATTCCCCACACACTAAGAGCCTGGTAGCACCAACAGGTATTTACCTTGGAAGAGTGAAGCCATGCTTCTCCTGAATCCAGATAAACAGAGTAAAAAAGAGCAGGGAAAACTTCATCCTAACAGCATCCACAATGAAACCCAATGCAATTGGAAAGCCAAGGGTTCAGGGCCCACATTATGGATTTCAAAAATGTTATTTAAAGAGTGGTTAAAATTTAATACTGTCTCTCACCTCAGTCCTATGCTCCTGGTGCCTGAGTCAATATGACAGAATTCCTGGGGTAGGTTCTGTTCGTATTGATGTAGCCGGGCCCGGAAAGGGTATGGTACGTTCTGGACATTTTCATATTGACTAATCACTTTTGTCATCTGTGCTTTTATTTTGTTTCATTGTGGCTAGGAAGCACACAGATGAGAAAGAATACGAACACCAAGTTTTGGGTAGTGTGATCCTGTCCTATTTACGGAGGTCCAACTTCTGACATCTTTGCACTGAGCACTCTGAAAACAAATCACAGCCAAGTGTGCAGCTGGGTTAGAGGAGTTGGGGGTGAGGCTATTAGGGCCAGCTAGAGAAATCCTAAACATTATTATTAAGTTTTGCATGACCCTGTGGTTTTTCTCTCATATTTCTATCCACGATGGTCCAGACAAGACATACCAGAGAGCTGAATGAATTTGACATGTCCAGCATAGATGATCTTCATGTATGTTCTGCGCCTGAACAATAAATCCAGCTTGGCGAGGACATGGCAAGCTTCTTACAGTGTAATTATCATGTGCACTGAAAGTGCCATCCATATGCAGTACAAGCAATATGCAACAATTACTGGAAATATTCAGGGGGTTGGTCTGCTTGTGTCAAAGGCTTGTCAGGAGTATGTGGCTGTCCAACAGCACAATCAGTTACACCTGCCACATGCTTGTAAATCACAGGTAATGATCAAACTCCTCATAGTCCAAAGCCCACCCACCAACACTACAGCTCCAGATAGAAAAGCCTGACCTATTTAGAGAACCTCATTGTGATAGCCTTATGCAAAGGAAAAATGTTATTTATATCTCCAGGATGGCAATATATCCACCCTAATATTAGCCCCTGAGCATCTGGTTAAACATGTGAAATAGGTGTAGGGTAAGGGACGGCTTCACCCATAATGTCTGATATAAAAGGTTCTTGTTGCAAATGGTCCCCGGAACCACAACGTGGTTTTGTTCCAGAGGGAATTTGCTCCAGCGGAGGACCTGCAAGGGAATTTACACACGGGCAATGTGGACATCAGGGAGCCAAGAACTGGAAGTGCAGATGGGAGGATAACTTCTTTGACAGTGTAAGTATAGCTTAAGGTTATAGCTATACAATTGAATGAAAACTTGGACCTGGGGAAAAAACCCCGGAGCAGAGGTTAACTAGCAGGGACTAGGCTGCATCCACTGGCCTCCTCTACAACAGCTCTGGAGTGGTCCGGATCAGAGGCAGTGCCCTGGTGAGGTGGCAACTGGGCCTCAGAGCTCAAGCTCAGTCCTAGCCCTCCTTATTTAGCAGAGCAGACATGCCCTACAAAGCCAGACAGCTAAGTTTCAGATGGCTAACGTCAGAAGAGATGAATGACACTCCCCAGTGAGTAGCTTGGTGTCTGTGAAAATACACAAACACTGAAAACCTTCAAATCAGAAACACTGGATTGAGCACAAACTGGACACTAAAGGGAAAGGAAAAAAAGGCTCACAGGTAGCTAAAGCATTGATAACCTGCCTGGCTTTTGCAGTTCCTTTTTTATCTTTTCTAAAACTTATTCAAACAAATACAAAGTTCTAGTAAATGACACAAGCCATTCCCAGTAAGGGAAGTGGGCAGTGCTTTGATACAATGGTTGATTTTTAAACCAGAGGTTCATATGTTCTTCTTTCACGTAGGCAAAAATATCCTGCTAATAGATAATAAAATACAGGAAAAAAACTTGGTCATCCAGTTACACTTTCATTTGGAAATGTTTGATGCACAGATACAAATTTAAAGAAAAACTGGATCTAATGAATTAGGTATTGCAGAACAAATTGAAAAGCGTGTGGCGTGGGGTTGCTGCTAACAAAGGAAAGAAAAAGGTCGTCTACATCTAGATCTTCCCTACCTACCTAAGAAGAAATTTTTGGACAAATGGCAGGTGTGAGACGTTTTAATAATTTGATTGCTTTTCCTGTGGGTTCTTTGCCTCCTCTGCAAAGAGAAGGTTCACACCCTGTGTAAAAGGTGCTGTTTTCCTACTTGCTTTTTGGTTTCTGATACGCACTGGAAATATTTCACAAAAAAAGACCCAACGGATGTTTGAGGAAACTGAAGGCACTAAATGAAATGCTGAGAGAAGGACAAACCAGAGCCTGCGTAGAATGGCCTTGTGGTAGTTAAAGCATCACACAGGTTAAACCACAGTAAACCTAAGGGAAAACGTAGGATGAAAGACCAGAAAATAACCGGTGGAAGATGTGACTGACCAGGAGGTGGAGATACATCCCTGCTTGCTTGAAAGCATCACAGATCTCAGGGCTTGACACAGGACACAGAAGCTGGTTGCCTTTCAAGTGTGGCCTGAACGTTGCTTATCTGGATGATCTCTCTTTCTGCCTTTTTCCCTCCTGCAGAATTTAAACAACAGAGATAGATAGGCAATACCCTTCTCCACGTATGCAGCCTGTCTCAGCAACAAGGTCAGGCACAGCATTCAAAAACAGGATCACTGATCGCTGTCCTTGGGTTATTACATGGCAGCTCCACATCTGCTACACCCCTTTTCTCCATCCTCCGCTATACCTCTCCAAATAGCAGCAGCCAAACTATTCAGATCTGGGTGCCTGAATTGAGGTTCCTGGGCAATAAGCATCTCTGCAGTGCGCTGATTTTTGAAAGTATGGAGGCTCCTTTCCCAAGGATATGTATGCCATGTGACATACATTTTACACATAAAGACAATTTCTGTGACAGTGCAGTCTCAGAGTGGATCAGATTTCCTTGCCTGATATGATCTATTTATGCTGTGTTGCTGAGGTTTGCTATAAGAGGCAACCAATTATACATTCGTTACTGCTAAAATCTTAGGTGTTGCTGAGAAGCACCATAGCTGTGCATAGACAGGACATAAGTAAAAAAAAAAAAACCAAAAAACTACTGACATAATAGAGAGGGATGGGAGTATATTTAGACACCAAACTTAAGCATTAACTCCTCTGCTTTCCCCAAGCTGTTAGGGGTTATCATTTGTCCTGTGACTTATGTTGACATTCCCACCATCAGCTCGTCTCATTCACTTAGGAAGAAAGATTCATTTCCTTTGATGTTAGCCGTTTCCAATGCAGACTGCTATACCTGAGTGAGTCATCCAGCTCTGCCTTTATTGTCGCTGGAGAGAAGAAATAGGCACTTTTAGGGAGCAATTTGTCTGACCTCCTGTAGACATCTCAATTAGAGGGAAATGAAATGCCTGGTCCTATTCACTCACGGGAACCAGAGCTGGAGTAACTCACTTGGAGGTAGAAGGCTGCACTTGTTCCAGTGAATCCCATCGATTTTGCCTATCTTCTATCTTCCTACTTCAGCCTGGACACTTTGAGATGCTCTTTAGGGTCAGAAGCTCTTTGCTGTGTTCTGGGCTACAAAAGTCATAAATTAAGATACGTTTGCACTAGCTGCAACTGTAAATTCTTTCAAAAAGAATTCAAAAATTTAATGGCCCTTCAAAAATTTCTGAGAACGTGGAAAGTTTTTCTAAGTTAAGCTAGGAATAAAAATGCAATTTTAAAAAATTCTGTGAGGGGCAACAATAAAAATTGGGTTAATCAAAATATTTGATTTTGATAATTTCGACTGTTGTTTGATTTTGATTTGATTTCAAACTTGTTTCATAATTTTATTGAAAAATGAATCACATTTCTAGGCAATTTCCCTTTTTTTAAGAAATGGAGAAAATAAGATGTTATTGTGTATTTGAGAAGTGTTACAAGGGGAGCTTTTAGCAGTTTAAAAGCTTCCTTTTTTGAACATATATATATATTTTTTCTCTAGTTGGGAAATTCATCAAAGCTAATCCTCTCCAGTGATCCTTTTTGTTTCTGATGAATCAGCATTCCGTGACAGAGAACTGTTTGGTCAAAGAATTCCTGCTCAGTTCAAAGGTTTTGCTGCACCTGGATTAATTATTATTTCTGCACTGAGTAGACCATGTGCTGTGCTGAACTGGTGCCTGCAAGTGTTACTCACATAACAAGTGTGGCCAGATCCTGTGCAGTAATAGGTGATAGCTTGATCTGCACTCATTTCTGTTAACTTGCAGAGTAGCTTTGGGGCCTGCACTGGCTTTTATTTCAAAGGGGATGCTCAGATCCTGTTTTTTAAGAAAATAATCTCTTGCTTTCTTTGCTGAGAACTACTGATGTGGGAACTATGGATTGGCAGTATATCTAAAGCTTCCTGATGCCTACTGTAGTAGTGCCTACTATATTGATCCTCAGCTCTGAGTTGTGTACTTCAGCACGTGCCAGGGCCCATGTAAAGTTTGTGCTGTCTGTTGATAATAATAAACCTGTTAACAAGCATCCAAGACAGGGCAGGAGGGGGGAAAGGTCAGCTCTTATTGCAGCCGCATCCCTCAGATCCTTCTCCCTGTTGGGGATTAGCACATTCTCCTCTTGTTTTGATCCTCCTATTGTTTCCAGTCAATCAGCCATGAGTCCCTCCGGGGACTGTCAGTCACACCAATGGATCCATCTGATTGAAACAGCATACAGAGGCCAAATGAATCTGTGTTGTTGCTCTTGGCTCTTTAAATTCAGATTCAAATGCAAAATGAATCCCCTGAGTAATATTGACAGATTTTTGCCTTTTTTGGTGCATTTTTGCTACTGATGAGGACAAAAGTAACCTGCTAGCATCCTTCTTAAATGATGCAAAGGACTACCGAAATCCAGCTGAACTCTGATCTCCGTTGCTTGCTATGCAATGCAGCTCAGTGCCATCGCTCGTGAACCACACAAGGATGCAATTAGTTTAACAGCTCTTTATTATGAATGCAGCAGAACAGAATTAGAACTCAATTTAGAAGTCTCCCTTTCAAACCCATTCAGCTGTTACGGCTGCATCATCTTTCAGTTTTCCAAGG